TCTCTGCACCTTTGTCTCAAGTTTGCTGTGAACCTAAAACTGCTCTAAAAATATAAAGTCCACCAAAAGAAGTGACAGGGCTTTAAGAAATTCACAAGCGTTTCATTCTTTCCCACGAACTACGATTGCTAAACAAAAATGACTATTGAAACTAGAAAATAAGCCAGTTCCGCTTAACCCAATAAAGGCCAAGTAACAGGAAAATCTGTCTGTGCCCACCCTTGCCAAGATGTCTGGGAAATACGCTCCACACTACAGTACTAACAGAGGCAGCTGGAGTTCACCGGCCCGACACAGAAGGGAAAAATACTTGTGGAAATTCTGGAGGGTACTTACTCTACCTGCTATAAACCCCCTCAACCACCTGGCGATACCAGAGACGTATTTAAATGGCAGAGTTTCTTTTATGACCTTGGGAAAATATAACACAATCTCATGGAGTCTGGATTGGCCTTAACGACAGAGAGAGAAAATAATCTGAACCACCGAAGCTTTTTCTGATAAACGTCACGTGTCTACTACAAAACTAAAATATGGAGGTAGGATTTCTGCGCCCAAGGGATTTCAGCCTCTTCCCAAAAGAAGGAAGAAAAAGTTCAAAGGAAGGCTGGGTCCATCCGCGCATTTTAACTTCACCGAGAGACGGACGGTCGGCCAAATTTCCGGTGTTCCCCAGGCCACTGCTCCGCTCCTTTCTAACCGCTGCCTCCTTTCTTGGGAAGCCCCTGATTAATCAGCACGCTGAAAAGGAACACAGCCACCTGCACATTTTGTGGCCCTCTACAGAGGTGTTCAGGCCCACGCGGTGATAACCACGTAACAGTGCCTGTAGACGAAGGGCCCCTTCTTAGGACGCCCTCCTGGCCACCACCCCTGGAGGGGGCCCAGCACGGCTGGGCTCTGCCCGCCGCCCCGGCTCTCCGGATCACAGGCCCACGCGTTCGTGCTCCTGGCCACGCCACCACACGTACTTAGGCCCAAAAAGGGAGCAGGTGGAGTCAGGTACGGCTTCATACAGGAGAACCACGAGTTGTCTTTTAAAGTTTTATTCGTTTACGGCAACAAAAACCAGAGTGTACCCAGTAACACGTGCATTTAAGGCTCTACAACCAGGATTTCCGAGCGGCTGGATCTTGTCTACACCACAGACTACAACCACCAGGAGGCCTGGGGCTTTGCACCCCGTGCCAGCATGGATGGAAACCGGAGCGGCCACCTCGCAACCCGCCCTCTGCGGGAACCCGCAGACCTAGCTCTGTCAGCCTAGTGCAAAACCTTAGCTTTTCCCCTTAGGTGAACATAAAATGCCAAGAATCAAATGCCAGAATTAAAAGCATAACGCGTGACGGCCTATCGGCACACGTGGCATCCCCTGGGCCGTGGTCACTCACTGGAACGGGTGCGCAGCACTCAGCGGCCTGCCCCCCGCCGGCGGCCACCCCCCTATTCCGTCATGGAGGCAGACGCCGGGATGAGCTTCGGCTTCGCCTGCTGGGGTGGTGCCACGTCGGGGATCTTCTCCCCGTACTTGTACACGCTGACGGTGACGTCGATCTTCTCACCTCCGTACTTGTTCTTCACGTTGATGCTGTACTTGCCCGAATCCTCGGAGGTCACGCCCTTGATGGTCATGCTCACGTACTTGGCCTGCTCCACCTTGACCGAGAAGTGCTCGCTGAGCTCGATGTCCTTGTCGTTCTTGAACCACACCACTTCAGGGTCAGGGTTTCCAAACACGGTGCAGGTCAGGTTCAAGGTCTTCGGGAGGGAGGCGTGGGCGGAGAAGGGAGGGTTAGAGACAGAGAAGTCATACCAGCCTTCCAAAGGGGCCCGGCTCCCTGTGACACTCACTGAAGTGTTTACCTATCCCCCACGTTCATTTGACCAACACGCTCTTTCTATGTGTAAGCACCACGCTAGACACGCGGGATCCGAACACAGCACACGCGAGCGAGTTCGCCGTTCCGTGAGGCAGCTCATGAGAAAAATCAGTGATAGTTTTCCCTCTTTATTCTCAGTTTTAATCCACGGCCTGACAAGATTAATGCATTTAGAGGTAATGAAACTACATTTTACTGTAGACATATTTAGCCTGTTTCTAAATTTCCTTTCTATTCCAACCAATGGATCCATTTTACCAACATCTTCTCTGGATTTCCTCTGGTAAATCCAGAGAAGGTGTCTTCTAACCAGTAATCAGGCGCAGCAAATGCACTGACAACGTGTGCTCGGCCCATGAGCAGCGACACTGCTAACAGCACCAGCACAGCCTCGTTGTGAGGCCCACGGTTCCTCCGTCTCAGGAACTCGCTAGAATTTCTTTAGCTGCTCAAGAAAAGGCCTATAAATTTTAGTGTTTGGGCCTAATAAAATTCTCTCGTGTCTCTGTCCCCTCGACACTGACTTAGGACGGCTGCAGACAGAGAGAGGTTCCAGTCGGATGTCGGCAACTCCGCTGACAGGCAACAAACACAAACTCCAGGAAGTGGTTTCCGTTATAAATTCCAGAAGGACCTCGAAAACCAGAGTGCTTTTCTACCTTCCTGCCGGGCCAAGGGTGGCGGAGGGTGCGGGTGTGTCCTACCTTCTCGGTGGGCAGTTACCACCTGGAAGGACCAGGACCCCGCAGAGGCCCAGGGCCGGGAGCCACACCTGCCACACACCGGCTGTATGACACCTGCGTCGGGCTCCGTGTCCCTGTGGGCCTGTGGTTTCGGAATATTAAACTCTGCCGTCCCCTGAGAACGTGAGGGTGACCAGGGGCAGCCTGAGACCACCATCAGGGTGGGTGGGGAGATCCCCGTGGTCCGGGCTCTGGGCAGCAACCCCGTCCCTGGGCTCCCCCTACACTGGGCCGCATGAGTCCCACTGTCCTTCTTACCTTGCCCTCCATTATGGTCACCACGTCAGGTAAGCCACCGATCACCTTGCCACGATCTGCAACATGAAGGCCACTGGGTTGAGTAAACCGTCCCCGGGGACGTTTCTAGGAGCAGGCCCCATGCCGCGCAGCAGTGGATACAACACGACATGGGAGGGGCCCCCACCACTAGCAGGGGGACGACGGACGGGCGGACCCACTGGTCCCGTGAGGGACAGAACTGAGGATGAAGAGTTCCCCGAGGGCCACACAGGGAACCGGACACGTGGTCCCTGGAAGGCAGAAGGGTCCCCTGCGTCTAGACAGCAGGACTCTCCCAGGGCAGTGGACTGTCCACTGTGTTATGTTTCCACTGTTTTCTGGGTTACAACGCTTGACATCCTAGAAACCTTCCTGCCTGGGAGACGGCGCCTCCCCCGGCAGCCAGTTCTCAGAGACGACAAAGGTCCCAGCCTGGGACAGGCCACCAGCCCATCTGGAGCCAGCCCACCTGTACCCACCCCTGCACCCTGGAGGTGACCCCACCCCTGCCCCCGGAAGGCGACA